TTCAGGGTCAGACTCAGAGTTTGTTGAACCTCCTACCTGGAATACCCCTCTGCTTTTGGTTCCTATAAAGCTGCTGGAAGAAAAGCGACAGGACGCTAAATCACAACAGTCTTGTTGTTTGTTTGTGATGAGCAGTGATTTGCAGCATGGCAGGCGTCCCTCCAAGGTCAGGTCTCCTAGTCAGCTCATATACTATGTATCTTTAGTAACACTGATATGTATGAAATGTACAATTAAACATGTTCCTGGAGGAATGTCAACATTGTCTTCTGGTAACTGGGGTGAGTTTGTTAGCAGTTTAAACTGTGCAACACTTTATACACAACCCACCTCCACCAGCGCCGCTCACACATTAATGCATCAGCGTTAATAGTCCCTTTATATATACAGAACCAATGCCTCAGAACCATCTTGAGGATCTCATGGCAAAACCCACATCACCAACAATGAGGTGATGAGAAGGGCAGGGGTGGCGCTAGTGTCTGATATGGTCTCTGACAGGAGAAGAAGAATGGTTGGACATGTACTCCGACTGCCAAGAGAGAGACCAGCAATGGACTGGGTGCCTGAGGGCGGCAAGAGGAAGAGAGGGAGGCCAAAGAAGACGTGGAGACAGACATTTACGGAAGACCTAAGATTGGTGTCAGCTGGCATGGTGCAAGGAGGGTCGCAAGGGACCAGAGCAACTGGAGTGGACTCGTCACCCAATGTTCCAACAGGAACAGGAGGAACTAAGTCTAAGTAAGTAAGATATCTAAATATTAAGACTGTGACAGGAAGCATACAGCATAATGAGAACTTTCATTTTTGTTACTTTAAGATTTAGGTTGTTGTATACGAGTGTTTCCTCCTCCCTCTGACCTGAGAGCAGCTTTGCTCCTCTGTGAGGCACAGCTCCACTTCACACTTCAGCTAGATGTCCTCATCCTTCCTGGAGAACTGGAACACGTTGAAAGAGAAGGAGTTGGATGTTCCCTCGTCGCTTTCCTCCTCCTCCTCCGTCGAGTCTTTGCCACATCTGCTCAGAAACAGGAAACCACACATGATGACATCAGCAGCATCAGCAGCTGATCCTGGCAGCCACTGACAGAGTCTCACCTGCCAACGATGAGGTCGTATGGTGAAACTCCATCAGCTGACTGCTCTCTGGTTGCATAGCAGGATCTGGTCACCATGGCGACCTTGCTGTCATCCAGCCCTGTCATCACCAGCGTCACTCAGATCTTCTGGAGTCCATAACGTTATCATCCAGTCCATCAACCAAACGTATCTTTCTATCACGAATGAAGTGGTAAAGGTTAAAACAAGGTGAGGTTGAAGCACAGGGGCTGACATGGTGGATAAATGTGTGTGTGTGTGTGTGTGTGTGTGTGTGTGCTGGTCTGGATGTGTAAATATGCAACCCTCTGCTACACCTTCCGAATAACAACTTTATAATGTGACAATAAATCAGACGTTTTAAAATATTTCCAGTCTGTGTCAGTCACTTGCTAAAAGAAGGAAGTCTAACCCGTCCTGAAGATAACGACATGCGGTGCACCTGGCTGAGACTCGTCATGACTCGTCATGACCGTGGCTCCACAGGGACGTGATGAGCAGAAACAGCATNTCATGGAGAGAATGCCAAGAGTGTGCAAAGCAGTAATCAGAGCAAAGGGTGGCTATTTTGAAGAAACTAGAATATAAAACATGTTTTCAGTTATTTCACCTTTTTTTGTTAAGTACATAACTCCACATGTGTTCATTCATAGTTTTGATGCCTTCAGTGAGAATCTACAATGTAAATAGTCATGAAAATAAAGAAAACGCATTGAATGAGAAGGTGTGTCCAAACTTTTGGCCTGTACTGTATATAAATATAAAATAACACTGATGACAGTAATACATATATACATATATGTATTACTGTCATCAGTGTTATTTTTATATTCAATGTTGTTATTATAATAGCTGTTGTTAGTATTGTCATGATTAACATTACTATCATCATCATCATCATCATCATCGTCATTATTATCATTATTATTATTGCTATCGCTGCTATTATACTTCTATGAACCATGTGTTTGACAAACCAACCAAACACAATGTGTAAAACATCAGTAACACACATTTTCTTTCCTTTCATCACATTGAATTCATTTGTTTTTATTTACCTTTATTTCTCACTCTTATTTTTTATTTTATTTTCAGTTCCTATTCTGACTCACTTTCATTTTTTCATCTGTCTCTCAGTCATCTATTGCCCCTGCCTCAGACATGCAACCAACATCAACAGAAAAATGAAGCTCAATTAGATTTTGTTGCCATTCATATTTATTATCTGCTGTTATAGATGTTTCCTTCCTATATGATGTGTTGTTACATCATTAATTTTATTTCTGCTTCTATTTAAATCAATATCCTATCATCTCTATTTGAATATTTGTATACTAGAAATATCTTACATTGTTAATTTCACATGTAGCTGAGCATATTAAGGATCTGACCTGAATACATTCATGTTTTTCAAAGAAAAATTAATGGTTTTATTTTCTATCATTTTCCCCTCAGACCCGTCTCTGTCAGTGGGTGTCCCCTCCTGCTTCAGCTCTTCTTTGAACAAAGTGTATTTTTAATAGAGATTAACAGAGGTTAAGACGTCACAGAAAGCCTGAATGAATGAAATGAGTGCAGCTGGTAAGTAAAGTGCTTCCACTCGTTAAAATGTCTCTGCCAGAGTGTGTGTTTGTGTTTGTAATGGCCTGAATAGAGAGTCAAGGCTGTGTGAGCGCTCTAATGGCTTCATATTTACCTGCCCGCCCACAGACGCTGCTCAATTTGTGCCATTACATTAACAAAACAAAAAAAACACTTTAGAGAAACGACTGCAGTGACCAACTGACCTGAAAAACGTAGGCTTCGGTTCAGCTGCAGAGAACGACTAACCACTATTAATGAAATCTGAAGAAACGAATGACGACTATTTATAAAATCTGAAGAAACGACTGATGACTATTTATAAAATCTGAAGAAACGACTGAAGACTATTTATAAAATCTGAAGAAATGACTGACGACTATAAAATCTGAAGAAACGACTGACGACTATTTATAAAATCTGAAGAAACTACTGACGACTATAAAATCTGAAGAAACGACTGACGACTATTTATAAAATCTGAAGAAACGACTGACGACTATTTATAAATTCTGAAGAAATGACTGACGACGTTAAAAACAAGAGCAACATGTGCCAGGACAGAAATGGACAAGAGGAGACGGGACGAGGCAGGACAGGATGGGACGACCTGGACTGGACAGAGCGAGGAAAGGTGAGGGACAAGGTGAAACGAGACAAGACAAGACGTGAGGAGGCAAGGCAAGCTGAGACAGGACATAAGATAAGATACAAGACGGGACAAGATGGGATGCGATGAGACTAAAGAAACCAAGACGAGACAGGACAAGATATAAGAAAAGATACAAGGTAAGATGAGATATAAGACAAGAAATGACATGACAAGAAAAGACACAACAAGACACAACACACAATATTAACAAGAAGACATTACAAGACAAGACACGACAGGACAGGACAGGACAAGACAAGACACAACACAAGATATAATACAATAAGACATGACAAGACAGGACAAGACAGGACAGGACAAGACACAACACAAGATATAATACAATAAGACATGACAGGACAGGACAGGACACAAGATATAACAATTCAAATAAACACAAGAAGTTTGTGCTCTAATAAAAAACAAAAAAAAAAGGGATCAGCGCTCAGTGAATAATCCTCCTAAGCCCTACGATAAGCTAATATGGCAAGGCTTAACTATACAGACCCGTGAGCAGTGATAACTAACATGTCTTTGGGGTCATCGGGTGGGAACCTCCTTTCACCGGTGTTTCGTCTAGTTGGTCCCACGACACCTCCAGGAGGCTAGACAGTGATCTCTGGCGTCCCAGAGACACTCCCCTAATGCCAGGTCTCACTGCTCCCCACAC